TGCTGGACCATGTGCTTGCCCAAGTATACAGGACTCCCCCTGACAAAGCCTTCTTCCATTTGTCTCTCTAGAAGGAAGGCCCCATCTTTGTTTGGGCATCATCCAGGGTCACCATCTACTTACTGGACTAAGATGCCGGCTCAGAGATGACACAATAATGTAAATCCTGGTGTCCCAGCACTTCTTGGCTGTAATGCTTCCTCCTGCCTGCAGCAGACTGATCACTGGGGGAGGAGAGACTGAGGAAATGCTTCCTCCTGCCTGCAGCATGCTGATCACTGGGGGAAAGGAGAATGTGGAAATGCTTCCTCCTGCCTGATCACTGGGGGAGGAGAGACTGAGGAAATGCTTCCTCCTGCCTGCAGCAGACTGATGCCTGGGGGAGGGGAGACTGAGGAAATGCTTCCTCCTGCCTGCAGCAGACTGATCACTGGGGGAGGGGGGACTGAGGAAATGCTTCCTCCTGCCTGCAAGAGGCTGATGCCTGGGGGAGGGGAGACTGAGGAGAATGTGGAAATGCTTCCTCCTGCCTGCAGCAGACTGATGACATAATCTCAGCCTAGGCAAAGTCACTGCTTAATGAAGATCTTCAATGATAAAAGCCATGCAATCAGGCCGGTGCCCCCCTTCTTCTCCACAACTATTACATGGCTTGTCTCTGACACTGAGCATACACACACCTGACAGTCGGGGCCGGCCGACAATATATGAGAATTTAGGAAGATCTTTGGTCCACTTTAACGGAGAATTTGTGTCTTTTAGGGACTATTGCGCTGAAGGTCGTAATGTCTAATTCTACAGAGGAAAGTGTTGAGGACTCGGTGAATGCCTTCATCAGAAAGGTAATGAATCCTCTCATTGATACAATGTAAATCATGATGGTCTGTTATCAGTGGGCGGTGCGCTGCTGCCCCCAAGTGGCCGCTTTGTATACCAGGAATCCGCTGCGATATAATCATATTTATAGATGAATCTGACTGATGAGATTCCCAAAGATTTCCATCTCTGGTCCGAACCTCATTCTATGAATCACATTTATATGTCTGATTGATGAGGAGTCCACAGAGTCGAATATACTGTTATGTGTATGACCAGGGCCGGCCTTAGGGGTGCGCGAGCTGTGCGGCCGCACAGGGCGCCATGGCAACAAAGGCGTCAGGCGGCCGACACAGCTTGTCCTCAGGGCGGCTTCTCTCCTCCTCAGCGCTGGCCATCCGACATGACAGCGCTCCCTCGTCCGCC